GGTCAGGTTTAGTTTAACATGATGTAAAAAGGTTGTCATGGTTTTACGATTTTTGGTTATCAGTATTACACATCACAACATCACGTAGAGCACTGGGACTGAAAGAGTTAATGCTCCAGTTCTGGGTACCTGTCCCAGAAGAGCAGAAGAACTGCATACCCCAGAGGACTTTGTGTTCAGAGAAGAGAGAAAATCCCTGGCAAGGTCACAGGACTGGGCTCTCCTCCCTTCTACTCATCCTGACCACATGTCTCATCACAGCATTAGAGTAGGGCCTTCAGCTTTTGGACACTCTCTCTCATTTTATTTGTTTTATTACCTTCAATTCTACTGAATCATGGAATCACTCTGGTTGGAAAAAAACCTTAAACACCATCAAGTCCAACCATGACTTAACCATACTGCCCTAACTAACAACCCTGCGCTAAATCATGCCCCTGAGCACCATATTCTAATGGGTTTTAAACACATCCAGGGATGGTGACTCAACCACCTCCCAGGGGAGCCTATTCCAGTGCTTAACAACCCTTTCTGTAAAGAAGTGTTTCCTAATATCCAACCTAAACTTACCCTGCTGCAACTTGAGGCCATTTCCCCTCATCCTGTCATCTGTTGTTTTGCATTCCTATATCTAGTTTGTAAATTTATTTCTCCTCAGATGGTTGCTTCCGTTTTGCTTTGGGCCCATCTCTCTATCCTTTCTCCTTACCCCTTTCCAGGGCATGGATCCATGGGTCCCTTCACCCCCCTATTCATGGAACCGGGACAAATCAGCCCATACACTGTTGACAAAGGGTCGCTTACATAGCACTGCCACATTTTTAGTGTGAAGGCAAACCCCAGAAAGAATCCTACAGAATCATTATGTTCAGAAATTGTAAGGAACTCTTTCCATGACTGGAAGACTAATCCTAGGACATCTTATCAAATGCAAGCAGATTCAAATCAACTATATGCCTCCTCATGAAATAGAGTTTGTTTTACTAATTGTTTAAAATAAAATAAAAAATTCTCTAGACCTAGACACAGAGGAAAAATTATGTTAGGAGGGAATAAAACTTTAAGAGTAGAAAGTACGCTGAAATATTACCATAAAAAGGACAAGTAAGTGCATTTTATGTGAAAATAAATCAGTAACTGAAGAAAGGGAGCACACAGTACTTCAGTTTAGAAAAGGCTCTTTCACAATCAGTCTAGCCACGTGTAGATGATAACATTAAAAATCTGTCAAGTGAATAATGTCAGCTCTGAATAACTCCTCAATATTTGGTCTACAAATCTCAACTTTGACTGACCTAATACTGGCCACTGACTCAGGCACAGATATGATTGGTCATGACACTCAGGGACATTATGAGATAAAGATACAGATAAAATAAAAAAGAGTTCTCCTAGATAATATGACTTTATAACATGACACTTATTTCGATGATGGCTGTAATAAATTTTACCCAAACACAGTCCTTCAGAAGTGTGGAAGTACAGATAGAAGTACACAGCTATAAAGCAATTACTTCAATACATACGTCAAAATTCAAAGGAAGAAGACAATGAAATAAATTGGATAAATAGAATTATAACTCATTGTTTCCCAACAAAGTTGAGAAATGTTGAACTAATTATGACATTGTTTCACATAGTACAGTTACAAGACAAATATTCTAAGTCATCAACTTAGAATACCAACAAACCCCTGGTTACAACTGAGAGTCCATCAGTCTGAATTGAATAAAGATGCTCCTTCCTTTCCTTCCTCTCCCTCTCTGTGTATGCAGTATGCAGTGCTTCTCTACTTACCCAGTAATCATTTACATAATTTACCTGGCGTATATTTTCTTAGGTTGTACTAACTTGAAAGAAAAGAAGTGCTAGAATTATAACAGATTTTTCCTCAAAAAAAAAAAAAAAAATATTATTTTTAGTATCACTGTGATGGGGAACAAAAATATTGAAAAGAAATACTGAATGTTTCCTCTTTTCTAAAACATAGAACGCATTCACTACTATATTCCATGAATAGATATTTAAAAAGCTATTAAGCAGCACTGTAATGCAGAATATCTAAGTGCCAATATTTTTAAAGAGGAGCTAACATTACTAAAGCGAAAATACAGTAATAATAAACCACTCAATTTCTATACATCTGTCAGTCGCAAAGGAATTTTACAACAGCAGCCAGTGCTATTATCTCTGGTTTGCACACAGAAAGAAGAACAGAAGAGTATTTGCTCTACACAGCCTTGCAGGACACATTCACAGGTCAGAGCTAAGAACAGATTCCACATTCTCTTAGAATACGGGTTAGTATGATCATTTATGACTGTTTAAAACCATTTATGAACTGATGGTAAAAAATGCACACTATTTAGACCAAAAAAAAACCCAAACAATGACGTCATTAACAAATTAATTCTGGAAAAGACAGACACAGCAGTTTAAGATAAAGCTATTGTTCCACAGATATTTGTTGTCATTCCCAATAGTGGTTATTTCCTCCAAACAAAAACTGTAGAAATGAAATGTGTGCTGGTGCCAGATGCTTCAGTGCAATTCAGAGTTCTACTTAAAACTGCCTGCTGCACCATGAATGAAACAAGTCATCTGGCAGAGGTACATGGAAACAACTATCAATGTCAGCAAGTTTAACAAGATACCACTTCTCAATAGTTTCAGAATTCCAGTGCTAATTTTGCTACTGTCTCACACTATGATGGGAAAGACCTCCTTACCCACTCTTTCCCTCAGTATAAGACATCAAAACCCTTGCCTATAATGCAACTGTTTTTAGTAAGGATCTCACCTTAAAGTATCAACAAATATTAGAAAACAAAATAAGAGAAAGCAATCCACTCACACACTGCACTGAATGTCACTTGTATGTTAAAATTACACTTAGTGAGCGTTACAGATCACATCAGTGAGGTGACATGCTCCCTGAGGAGGTGAGCAGAAGGCTCAGGCCAGGCTCTGCCCCTGGGAGCTGAGGGCAGGATGGGGAAAAAAAAAAAACAAAACAAAACTGCACCAGGAGAGGTTTGAACTGGACACTAGGATAAATTTCTTCACCATGAGGTTGGTTAGCCACTGAAATAGGCTTCCTAGAGAAGTGGTTGATGTCTCATGCCTGTCTGCGTTCATTTGGACAATGCTATTGGTAAAATGCTTTATTTGGTTAGTGCTGAAGTGGTCAGTTGAACTAGGTGGTCTTTGTAGGTTCTTTCCAACTGAACTGTTGCGTTCATTGTTTACCAGAACTTGGTTATATTGAATTCCCATTTCTACAGACATGTTTACCAGTTATAATAGGGGAAATTTAGACTGGATATAAGGAAGAAGTTTTTTATGATAAAGATAGTGAAGCACTGCAACAGTTGCCCAGTGAGGAGATGGACATGAGGAGATGGACACCCCATCCTTGGAAGCATTCAAAGTCAGACTAGACAGTCTGAGGAACCTGATCAAGCTGTAGGTGTCCACTGCATGGGAGCTAGACTAAGTTCAAAGGTCCTTTGCAACTCACATGATTCTATAATTAGGTTCTATTTTCTCATTCACTATTTTTATTTTTTTTAATTCTTAGCTATAAATACCAGTATTTAAAAGAATACCAACTTCTTTGTCACAGGTGCATTTTCTGATCTCCTTGATGTTTACATGATTTCTCAATTTAGTTTCAGCTGGGAATTTTAACTAATAGGCTGTTTATCACCTCATCCAAGTAATTCATTTTATTGAATACTTTCACTAATCTTTGCAGGTTCACACACAAAAAAAGTTCTCCTGCACATCACTCCTCTCATGTAGGACTAAAAGAAAAGGAAATAAAATATAATTCTCACACTACATATGAATTATAGTACAGATGTGGATAATATACAAAATGTGTGTGCACAGGGGATATATTGCTGCAGTGAAGGGATTATCTAAATCTCTTGCATTCAGAATCATGTACTTTCAGTTCAAGAATTTTTGTGTTAGCAATAAAGTCTAGCATAACTAGGCATTTTAAAAACATTTCACTATATAGCATTATTTATTCTGAGAGAAAGTGCCATCCCTTGAATATCACAGAAATACAGAATTGCAGGGTTTGGAAGGGACCTCTAGAAATCATCGATTCCTATTTCCCTGCAAAGCAGGCTTCCTACAGCAGGCCGCATACGCAGGTATCCAGGTGGGTCTTGAATATCTCCAGAGAAGGAGAATTTACAACCACCCTTAGCAGCCTGTTCTAGCGCTCCATAACTCTCACAGTGAAGAAGTTCCTTCATATATTGGTGCAGAATTTCCTATGCTCCAGTTTATTGCCATTTCCACTTGTTCTGTCCCCACTGGATACAGTACTCTAGGTGAGGCCTCACCAGGGCAGAGTAGAGGAGGAGGATCACCTCCTCAATCCTCCCTTGCCACGCTCCTTTTAATGCACCCCAGGATCTCACTGGCCTACCAGCTACCAGGGCACATTGCTTGCTCATGGCCAACCTGTTGTCCACCAGAGCATCCATGTCCTTCTCCAGCGCTTCTCTCCAGCAGCTCATGCCCCAACCTGTACTAATACATGCTGTTATTCTTTCCCAGGTACAAGACTCGACAACTGTTTTTGTTAAACCTCATCTGATTTCTCACTGCCCAACTCTCCAGCCTGTCCAGGTTGCTCTGAATGGCAGCACAGCCTTCAGATGTGTCAGCCATGCTCCCAGCTTTTTTTCATCAGTGTACTTTGTTTCATCAGTGGACACTATCCCCTCAATGTCAACAAAAATACTGAACAAGACCAGACCTATTAACACCATTAGTAAATATGTTTTCCTGTTTGTTTGTTTGTTTTTGCTTTTGTTTTTAAACAAGGAAATCCAAATCCAAACAATCCAAATTCAAATAATACAAACTTAATTTATCTTGTCATGTTTCTATCCCTGGCAGCATGACCTGGTTGATATCTATTGTTTGGCAACAGTCAGAAATGCTAGTGAGAAAATAAAAGCAGCTATGATACTTACATTAGTGAGGTGAATTACTCCTTTAGATGTAACGGAGCAGCCCATGAAACCAACATACTGCAGCTCGGGACAGTGCTCAGCAAATGCTTTCACTGACTGATCTGTCACCTGCAGAAAAGATACACAGGTATAGTTGAATAGGTGATATGAGTACATACATAATATAATCTACTTTCCCTGTAACTTTGGCAAGATCCTCATTAATAGTTTTACTCATGTTATCACTACTACAATTTATTTTAAGAGTTTGAAAGAAAATGTTAGATGTTCATACATATCTGTAGAAGTGTATGAAGAGGGATGATGAAAGAGAAGGATCATCATCTTGGAGGAGAAGGAAAAATAGAAGAAGAAAGAATGATGGCAACTGAAATTCATTCTGCTTATCTGCAGATAACCCAAGAGACTATTCTATCCACTATTCCCATAAATTATACATAGACATCAAAATACTAACAAATTTGATTGTCATCCTAGGGAATCATGCTGAACATTGCCATGCATCATTTCTTCAGCAAAGAATTTGAACTCCGACATATCCTAAGTTTCCAACCCCTTTCTAGACAATTTCAGTTACTGAAACAAAGACATTATTTTATATCATTCAGTGTCATTTACCCTTTAAATGGAGATTTTACCTACTTTATTATTGTGATTTAAATGAATTTCTCAACCATTTATTTTGTCCAATAGCTATGAGACACAAATTAATGCAGTGTTTTGCAGGTATACCTAAAGGAGAATTATTTGCCAAGTTTGTGAAGGATGTAAAATGGATATGCTTAAGAAATCTCCTTATTTTTCTTTAAGCAAGTTGTATTATTTTTTTTCTTTTCTGAGCAGTATAAATTCCCAATGCAAATGACAGTAGTACAAAACTCCATTTTGATTTTGGGATAAAAACTGTACTGTCCAGCAAAATTGTACTGGAATTGAGGGTCTCACTGTGTCTGGAATCTTAAGCCTTGAATGCTTGATAACATTATGGATATACAATAACATATTCTTGTCATCAGAGAACTCAGAAGCAAAAGAAATATTGAAATATCAAGTCCGTAACTCAGCCTCAGGTGAACACATACATGCAAACAGTATTCTTATTGTGCTATGTATCATATTTATCCACAGCTCCAATTTGCTTGGCTAACATGTCACTTCAGTGCATGCTGGCAGCATATGGTAAGCTTGGTGAGACTCTGACAAGGCAAATTTTGAAAAGATAGGACAGAGATAAAGGAGACCAACAAGATTATAGACACAATACCACATTTAAGCTGTTTTGATATGGGGTTATTGGGTGCAGTTTATATAGGTCTAAAAAGCAACAGTTTCTCAATGAGTAAACAGTTTTCTAGTTACACATCACCCAACTACAAATGAAAGGCAAGACCTCAGGAGCTAGATGTTTACAAACCTGAAAACAGATCAAAAGAAAAGGAAAAAAGGGCCAGTTAAACAGAATCAACAATGAAATGAGCACTGGCCATGTTTTTTCTGCATTAACTTATGCCTACAGTCTACATACTTAGATTTTAAAAAAAAAAAAAAAAAAAACTGTAATAAGAAATTTCGTCTTTCATTTTGATCTGACAATGTCTTACTTATATTTTCATCTTTGCACAATTTTCTGATCTAAGGACTGTCACACTATCTGGGAATTCTGAAGATTTTGACACTGAAACCTGTGACAAATAGCACCTAAAATGAAACATGATTTCCCTAACTACAAGAGGTTAAAAAAAAAAAACATTTACATTAGCATTAGAAAAACAGAATATATCAATACTAGCTTTCTATCCTAGCTTTTCTACAGAACATTAACTAAACCCTTTGCTCTTCAGGAGGAAAACCATTTTACAGACTTAATCTACTATCTTTACAGAGGATTAGAGTATCATTCTTTGCTTCAGACAGGTTTGTCCTGGCTAGCAAGAAAGCATATTCATGGACAATCAATGTGGCAAATTTAATAGAGAAATTAAAGGTTTAATAATAAATAATAGTTTATTTCATATAGCTGCCATTTGGGTGCATGAGGATTTTGAAAATGGCTGCTAATAATAAAATTACAACCTGCATCTTAAAATACCTTTTATTAATTGTATGAAATTTTCAGCATCCTAAACAAAATTAAATAGCTTTGGTAAAAATTGGTGACAGCAGATCGTAAGTATTAAACATCATAGACTGGGAGTTAATATTTCCAGTGCTTGTTAGGTAATCAGGATCTATCTGGTCAGAAAAAGATTTTTACCTCATTACCATTCCCGTCCCATGATCTTCATAGTTTAGAAAAAATTATTTACAACCTATCAACCCGAATATGTCTTACATTTCCACTGGGAGAAATCACAACTTTTGTCATGCATTTTGCTACCGCAAATGGCAATCTCTGTTCTTAAATCTTTACTTAGAATATGAAATGAATGAAACAGTTGTGCACTGAACCTACTGATGTCTTTAAAGCAGACACCATGTTTTGCTGTCAGCTCATAAACGCACCAGATCTGTAGGACGTGACCTCAAGTTTTAATGGGAAACATAAAAATTTCCTAATCAGTACTGCAATATCAAAACCAGCATTCTCAATTATGCCAGTACCTGTGAATATCTTCCGTCTTTTTCAGACCCAGACTCATTTATAGCAATTTGTATTTTAATATCATGGTTCTCAGTGAGACAGTCTGTAAAGGAGATCACCAGATACTGTGTTTTATTAGCTACCCATCATAAAATTTCCTCACCGGAGAGAGCAGCTAAGTGGAAGGAAAAATAAACATACATGTTTCTGTACATATCTAAATACATATACACTTGCAGTTTCACAAGAACGATGGTTTCACATAATCACAGACTCATACTATATCCCGACTTGGAAGGGACCCACAAGGATCACTGAGTCCAACCCCCGCCTCCACATAGGACCACCCAAAATCCCACCCCTACACCTGAGAACACCTACATCCATCCAAACACACACAGAACTCTGGCACTTGGGGCCGTACCCACTGCCCTGGGCAGCTTGTTCCATGCTCACTGCGCTCTGGTGAGTAAGCTTTGCCTGTTGACCCTCCCCTGACACAGTGTATCAGACAGTTGAGTCTTCAACTCTGTGTTGGACTAGATAAAAAACATCTAATGATAACTTTCTTAAACAAAGTATCTGATGAAGAAGCTAAAAAACATAATTCTCACTATCCCTGTCCTCCTTTTTGAAGGTGACTGAGAACATAAACTAACTTATACTTTCTTGGTAAACAAATGCATAGGGCTGTAGTCAAACATGCTGACTTGCAGTTCAGTAAAAGTAACTAAGTAACTGATGCTTGAATCCTATCCATCAGTATTCCTATATAGCTCTTAAAACATACTAAGCCAAGCTTTGTAAGTAGAAACAGTATTTTTCATTAGACATGCTTTCACAGGGGAGAAAAAAGTAGGTAAGTTTCAGACATCTGAAACAGAAATAACAAAGTTAAATATAAAGCTAAAAAAAAAAAATTCTATTCTATAATGGAAAACAGTTGTTATTCTGTTTAGTTAGATTGACTGTTATGTTATTATCTGCAGCACCTAGCACTGATATACATGTTTGAGATTTTACATCTAAACTCAAAACATGCAGGCCAGCTGACTATTTTTACTGTCCCAGGAATGGTAATCTCTTTCATTGTGTCTTAACTTGCCAAGAGATGACTTGCTCTGCACACTGCATGATCAGTGACAGTTGAAAAATACAAATAAAAAATGCTCAGCAATAGCATATATGCAATGACTATGCAATCTTAACTCTATTCATAATGCAATATGTAATTGTATGCTACAGTTTCCTCAGAGTCCTCTTTATTACTCTGGAGACAGGACAGCTGAAACATGTATTATAAATACGGCTTCTGCAAGCTATCAAGCATTTGAGAGTTTCAGCTGTCATTCAGACATACTATACAAGAAAATTGGACTAATAATCTAAAAACACATTACCAAAGAAAATATACTGCAGTTCTATTAAAAAGTCCATTGTCAGTGAGGATACAGAAATTCACAGCTAATTTTTTTATAGATCACAGTAGTGTTCTTCCAAGAATCTTTAATATCTGATTGTCTAGTCGACCTTCATTGACTTTCATTCACCCTGTCTTGCTTGATATTAGTCTTGGTTTGAAAAAGTAATATAGGATGATGAGAAAAGATTTATAAGTTATGCACTAAAGCACTGTGAATGAGAAATACACTGGTCTGGAACTAATAGCACAGATTTTGCTCCTATTAAAAAGATCTATGATAAGCAAGCTACAATTTAATCATTTTCTTCTTCTGTATTACAGCTTATTATATACGAATTCCAGTTCTGTATTGTTTTACAGAAATTCAATATTTTGGCTATTCTGAATTAGATTCTGTAATTATTAGTTTATTTTATATTCCATAGTTGAAGTAGCAAAGAAGACCAGTTCTGAAGAATAATTCAAAAATGAATTTTGAGGTGCAAGACAAGCAAATTCTCACTAAGATGCCATTAATATATAGCAATTAATAAAAACTTACAGAATCTCATGCAGACATAACATAAAATGGAAAAGAGGTAGGAATAAAAGTATTGGCTAGACCAGAATGGACACCACATTCTTCCATTGAAACAGGCACACTACAAGTCTATGTTAATCTGCAATTCTTTATATAAAATACATAAATAAAAACTTGCAAAATACTGAAGGATTTTTTTTTTTTTTTCAGAAGAAGATAAGCTGTGGTAAAGTGAAATACGAAATAAAATAAAGAGTCTGTATGCCATGTATATATTGTCTGAGTGTTCATTGCACAAGTCAGCATTATTGGGAGAAGAAAGCCCTTTATTCTTAATTTCCTACAGCATAAATCTGTACCTGTCCTGAACACATCATGCTTATCTTGGGCAGCATAAGAAGAAAGGAAGGGTGAGAAATTACTCACCTGAACTCAGTTTTATATTTGGAAAGTTTGGAAAGAGCTTTCTAAAAAACTGATCAACTGATTCAGCCCTAAAATGTCCTTGCTTTTTTTTTTTGTACTACAGACTTGATAAATTATAAACACAGAAGATCAACATAAAGCCTTGCATGTAGCATGTT